GGCAAGGGTCCTGAGTCTCTTGGGAAGTATTCGGTGAGGCCCCGCGTTGTAAAACCCGCCTCCGGGCTTGTCTACAACCCCGGGTAGGTGGGTGGGATGGAGGACCACCCCCTGGTCCTGGGTGTCTACTAGGTGACCCCAGCAAAGACTTGGCCAGAACTTGGGACCCAACAGGCTCCCGGACCTCCCTCACAGCCTGCAGAACCCCGCTCTCCAGTACACACACCAGTCAACAAGAACTAGAGATCCGGTCCAGCGAAAAGGACTCATCCTGAAAGTTTGAGTGGTTGTTGCTGTTTTTCCTTTTACTTTAGAACCGAAGTTGTGGTCTCCTGGTTTTCCCTCCAACTGTGTCTAACGTGTGATTTAAATCGCCCAGTTTAAATCAACCTGCAGCTCATTGGCTTGGCAGATTCAGGGGCATTCGAGTTATAAATGCCAATGCAGAGCGCCAGGGAGATAGGCTCAATTATGTTTTGCCCACACAACAATTTTTTTTAAAGTTAATTGATGTAAAGTTGCTTGGCATGTGGATAATTTAGTCTGACCTGCATTTTAATTAAAAGAAAACTTATTTATGTTTCTTCTGTTTAGGTTTTGAGATTCAATTTTGTGTGGAGGCACTGTTTGTGGAGTTCGCTCCCCTCTCCACACCCTATACCCCTGAATCACGTTCTCATTAAAAGGTTTGACTAAGGCGCCTTGGCTGACCAGGATTCATTACCTCCCGCGGTCCATCCAGAAACACTTGCAGAGCTCCGACCTCCTCTCTGTCCCTTGCTCCATTGGGCAGAGCCGCCACAATTTGCTGCGAGACAGGGAAAGTGAACTCTCATCATTATTTTTCAGTCTGGGGAGTGTATTATCCCTTTTCCTAGTGGTAATTAGTTACCATAGCATCTAATACGTAAATGTGCCCAGAGCACACCATTAACAGTTAAACGGAGGATTCAATTTAACACATGATTATATCTTTCATAAGTCATTACATTGGAAAAGTCAATGCCATTCATTCTAGACTAATCATGGGGCCGGGGGTCCTATAGCAAGGGTCAGTTCTAGTGTCCAAGACCAAAAAGGGTGTAGCAAAGGGAATTTCTGGAGAAATTTTCCAGAACACAAGGTTTTAGAGAGAGTATAGGACTGCAGAGTGGAGGGGGCATCACAGTTTCACACACACACACACACACACACACACATACACCATACAGAAAGAGTAGAAGGGGTAACTAGAGAAAATTTTCGAGATGATCATTTACTACTAGTCATCAGCTGAAGCTTCTATCAGTGCCCAGCGTCAAACTAGCCACAAGACATAAGTGAGAACAGAAAGGCAGGTGGGACTCAGCCTTCACACTTGGCCTCACCTGCACTCTAAGCTCCGGAATCCCAGAAATGGGCTGGTAAGGCTCTTGTGGGCAAAGCTCCCAATGTAGGCACAGTGGGTGCCAGAACAGGCCCTGGCAAGCCCTGGAGCCCTGAGGTCTTCTTGGTTGAGGGTGTCTGCTCTTCTCCAAGAGAATTTACCTAAGATCACCTGAAACTTCCGGTCCTTAGACTTTCCTGACCACATGGGCTTACCTGTGGCTAGACAACTCCACACAGCTGTGGGGAAAAGATTCTAGGGAAAAGATTCTAGACTAAAACTTTGGAAGAAAAGTGACCCAAGGAAGTTGTTGGCAAGGAAAGAGGGCTCTCTCCACCCATTGTTTTCCTTCAAACGTTGGTGTTGAAGAAAGGTTAAGAGGAGGGCCTAAAAAATAAAATCCAAAAATCTTTCTCCTGTTTTTCAGATTCTCATGCTATTCTTAAAATCACAAACACACCCCCTTTTGGCTCTGGACAGGTTGATTTTTTTTTCTGAAATCACTAAAATAAAACACATAACATTAACCGTGGTGCACTCAAGTTAGTGATACCTGTTCACCTGCTATTTTAACTTATTCTCCCCATTCTCTTCCTGTGCCCACCCTCATCCATTTCATGTTTGTTCAGGGAGAAGCTGGGAGGCTGTGACTAAAAGGTAAGGGGGGAGTGGGAGATGAGCATTTCTTTATTCTTGAAGTTCAGGATTTGTTATTCTGTCCAATTTTTAAGAAGAGTTGAACAGCACAGAGGTTGTAGAGAAGTATTCCAAAGTAGTTTTCTTAATAAGGAGAAATATTTAGCAGTAAATCCTGCAACAAATGTGTCCCCTATGATGTGCATATACAAAAGGAGGAAAAATCCTACTGGTGGTGGCTGTGGTTAATTCCTAATCAGAATGATGGACAGCAGGGCCAGAACAATACAAACTAATGGCTGTGTTGCTGATCACTTTACCCCTTGATTAAAGACACCCAATTATGGTGCAGAACAGTGTCGTAATTATGTTTCTTAATCACATCCAGGAGGTTTAATTGCCTTAACGATGTGTTTCATTAAATGAATTTAGGTATTATAGTCGACAGTTTTCATACACAGTTGTTTTCAAATTAACATAATATTAGACATCGTCATGGAAATTGTTTTAATAATCATAATTAGAAGCACCCAGGCTTTGTCTGGTAAATGCTGAGAGACTGGTCTCCTCCTGCCTGGGGGCTGCCCTGGTCTCTTTCCTTCTCTCTACCCCCACTCCTAGTCTGGGAGGGCTCCAGCTTCAAGGCCTTTTGCTGTTATGTTTTCTGAAAAGTTACAGGTTCTGATTAATCTTCTTTGATGCCAAGTGGAGCAGAAAATATCCTCCCTCACCCCCCACTAAGTTTGATGGCATTTAGGGATATCTTTATGAACTGAAGCTATACAGACAAAAGTGCATTTAGCATACTGGGGACAGAAGAAACACTATACTTTCTTTACCAACACATCACCAACTCTATGGCCATCTCTAAAACCTCTACTACAACACAAATCACATCTACATCTGAGGGCAATATAGAACTCCAAATAAAAGTAGATACATCATCCTGACAGAATCCAAGCCCAACCCAATCCAAACATCTAAAAATTTCACTAACAAGCAATGCCTACAGGAAGCCCTGGAAACTTCTATGAACATTATTTAAACTCCTATAATTGAACTTAGTCATTTCTTTTGTCACAAAACAGTAGACATCCACAATAAAATTAATGTTCTAAGAATGCAAATCCATCTCTTTTCCTTGGTCTTTAAGCATTTGAATATAGAAATTTTGATAAAAATTAAGAAACTTTACCTACTTTGGCAGGCCCTGGAACTTAATCTAAGTCACACAAGTAGAAAAGAACTCCAAAGACAGCAAGGCCTTGTAAGGCCATGACAGAGCTGGAAGCTCTGGACCTCTTCTGCATCCTCCCACTGACCCCTGTCACCTCTCCTTCCATGGCCTGGCTAAGCTGAAGATCTTTTTAAAAGTAAGTAAGTAAATGAAGACTACTCCTGATTTGCATCCCTGCCCTACCTTCTCTGAAACTCCTTTCTTTTTTATTACCTTTCAACAAAGAGGTGATTGCTCTTTCCACAAAGCACAGCATAATAAAAATGTTTGATCAAAATATTTTAATAAAGATTCTTTCTGACATAGATACACATACAAATGGTCATACATAGCTGTCATAGTCTGATTGGCCTATTTAATATATATGTATATATCATTCTTTACACATCCAAACCCCACCAATAGATCCATCACAACTCCCAACTCACCATCCAACTTGACAAATTGAATTTGTAGTATCTGCAAGGAGTGGAAAATAGCAGGACTGCATTTTTTTAAAAAAGGTTTTCTTGATTTTTTTTAAAATAGGATGGAAAGGCAGACAAACAGCCATGCAAACTAAAACTGAAAGCTCACTTTGGGTAAATAGCTTCTTGCTCTTCCTTAGTTTTATTTTTTATTTATTTTAAATTTTTATTTTTTTAGAAAAATAACAAAGAATTTCACACCATAAGCAAATCAAACCAGTCTTTTAACTTAAATAATTCTCCACAGTTAAAATAACTTATATATGTACATATATATTAAAAGCAATTAAATTAGACCTTTACAAATGCACAGCACAGCCTGGAAAAAAATATTTGCTTAGCTCATTCTTACTTAGGATCTATTGCTGTGATGTTTTACACTTTTGGAATGCAAAGAAGTCCCTTTTCAAAATAGAGCTCAATTCATCCATCAATTAAGAATACACCTTTCCTGTAATTTTTGGACTGAAGCAATTTATTAAAGCTCAATTTAAATACAGGGATGATGCAACTGAAAATATCCAGGTGATCTTTCAAAAACTTAAGCAGCTCAGATACATCAATATTTGTCTTCATATTTGTTGGCAAATAAACCTTTAAACACTTGGCACGCAGTATAAGTTAATCTATAAAACAGAATTTTAGAGGCATTAAAAAAAAAACTGCACATAGGACCCATGACCTTAACACATGATAAATACCGTTGATGTGGAAGGATCATAGAAGAATAACAAATAAATACCATGAATCGTTAATACATCATTGCAGAGTATAAAGTAACAAGGTGCACATAAATATATCTAAATGCAATTCTTTCAGCCACAGTCAGTTGTGTTTATATCACTCTCGCCAAAACTTTGAGCGTCTTCACTGGAATAAAGTTCAGAGACAATAAAAAATACAAGTCTTTCATAGCAACATGTCTCTCTGGGTTCCCCCCCCCTCCCCCCCCCCCCGCTTAAATAAGTCTACATTTCAAGTTTTTCCTCCTGGCTCAGAATCAAAATTCATTTTTCAAGTGCCCTTTCTGATTTGTCTGAATGAATATTCTGTTCCCCCTGCCTTCCAACCCAGGACTCCTCCTGTCCCCTACAGCGCTAGGATTGGCATTTTGTCATTCAATACTCCCCACACTTAATAACGAGCAGTACAGTACTTCTCGAACTTATTTTTCACCTTGAAGGAAGACTTTTGCTTCCTGGCGGTCTAGGCTGCCACCAAAGTTGTCACTTTGCTGAGAGAAACCACCACCACCACCACAAAAAAAAGACATCCGCACTCCATCCCAAACTCTACTTCCCTCCTCCCACCCTCCCCACCCCAAGGACCGAGATGCTGAGGATGTCACGGCTTGAAAGTCCAATTTGTCTCAGATACTTTTCAGTTCTTGCCTCTGCTTTGTTTGTCCTGCAACTGTTTAAAAAAAAAAGAAAGCAAAACTAAGAGAGGACCAAAATAAAGGACGGGGGGCAGCTTGTTGCTTTCCTCTAGCTTTTGGGTCGGTCTGATGTTTGGTGGTTGTATTGGTGTTTTTGTGTTTCTGGGGTGTGTTTAAGGCTTCTCCGTGCACTGTTTGCAGAGGCTGGAGGAGACGCTGTTGAACAGAGCGCACTTCTCCGGGCAGGAGGCGGCCGGGGGCAGCCCCGCGCTGAACGGGTAACCGGCCGCCTGCTCGTAGGCGCCGAGCGCGGGGTGCAGGGCAGCGGCCGCCGCCGCCGCGGCCGCGGAGCTAGGCAGGGAGGCGGCTGAGATGGCCTGGCCCTGATTGAGATAGGCGACCAGGCGCCTCATCTCCTCCAGGGCCTGCGCCTGCATGAGGATGTAGTTCTTGGCGAGCAGCAGCGTGGCGATCTTGGAGAGCTTTCGCACCGAGGGGCTGTGCGCGTAGGGGATCACGGCGCGCAGCTCGTCCAGCGCGTCGTTCAGGTCGTGCATCCGCCGGCGCTCCCGGGCGTTGATGTTCAGTCGCAGGGCCTTTTGCTCTTTGGATTTCTTGCTACTCCCGCCGCCTCCACCGCCACCGCTACAGCCGCCGCCGCCGCCGCCGCCGCCGCTGACCCCTCCGCCCGGGCCCCCCGGGGGGACGCTGGCGCCCCCGTGGAGGTGGGCGTTGGAGCAGCTCTCGGCCGCCTTGACCCCGACGCCTCCCGCGCCCGGGGAAGCCCGCGGATCGGCGCCTCCCGCCCGCAGCACCAGCTCGCAGCGGCTGTCGCTGTCGTCGTCGGGGCTCTGCTCGCCGCCGCTGCTCTCAGCCACCACCGAGCCTCGGCCCGCACTCTCGCCATACTTGAGGCACAGGGCGGCCCCGGCTGGCAGACTGCTTAGGCTAGGGTCACCCCCAACGCCAGCGGAGCCCACGATCAGCCCGGGGACACTCACCCCGCCGCCGCCGCCGCCGCCGCCGCCGCCTCCCGCGCCCCCGCCGCCGCCGCCTCCTCCTCCAGGCGGCGGCAGCAGCAGCCCTGCCCCCTCGGGGTCAGCCGGATCGAAGCAGCCCAGGGGCGACGAGGAGGAGGACGCCGGCCGCTCCCGGGGCGGCGGGGCCAGGGACAAGTCCATGCCCGGGGGCGTGGAGCGGAAAGCCGCCTCCAAGCGCTTGGCCGTGGCGGCTCCCAGGCTCTTGTGCAGGAAGAGGTCGTCTTCGCTCGCGGCGGCCGCACCGAGGTGCAGCCCGCGCTCCATGGTCCGGTGCCGGCCGGCGTGTAGCCCGGGGCCGGCCGCCGCCGCCGCCGCCGCCGCTGCTCCGGGCTCGGGAGTCAGGCGGTCCCGGAGACGCGCGCGAGCCGGGCTCGGGAGCTGGTGCGCGGGTGGGTCCCGGGGCTGCCGACAGCCCTCTCCCCTTCTTTCTTTTTCTTTTTCGCCTTCCCCCGCGCTCGCCGCCTCCTCTTCTTCTTCTTCTTCGTCTCCAGCCGATGGTGCTGGCTGCTGGGGCTCACCATGGGCCGCGGCCCCGCATGGTGGGAGGGTGGGCGCGCAGGGAGTGGAGCCGCCGCCGCCGCCGCCGCCGCCGGAGCCGCCGCCGCCGCTCTGAGCCCCGCCGCGCGCCTCCGCTTCGCACCGTTTATCTTGCTCCGATTCACCTTCAAGAGATTTCCGGACCCATCAAGCAGCCGCCGCCACAGACGGGGGAGTCTTTTACATCATTATCTCTGAGTAGGTTATTATGAAGAAGACTTGCCTGTTGGGATAGCGCTTTCTACCCAATCAGGTTAACGTTTTAATTAATAGGATTAAAACGGTAACAAACAATCGCAGGCGCTATCTGGCCGCGAGTCTGAATAGTTTCATTTCCCAGGTCTGAAGACAGGCAGCAGCTAGCGCTTTATAAAAGGCGCCTGCTCCATTATTCTGCCTGCCATCTGTATACACAGCCTAGCGCATATGTTTGCAAGGCGCTGGGTCCTGTTAGTAACCCAACAACTGCCTTTAGCTTGACATGTGTGGCGACTTTCACTCATCAATGAGCACACTAAAAGCCCTACTTAGAGCCGAGGATGTTCTTTGCTCCTTCAGCAAATTGGAGATCGGCGGCGAAGCCTGGGAGTCCCGTGGAAAGCAGACGTCCCCACCCACCGCACCCCACCCCCCAGCCCCGTCCCTCACCACTGCTCACTCAGCTTGTGCTAAATTACCCTTCCGGGCGAGAATTTATACTCCACCCCTGTTCGTGGGGTCTGGATTGGAGATGGGACTTGGGGTGGGGGAAGGGGACAGTAGTGTCCCAGCTGGCTTGCCCCCGCGTTTACTCTAGATTTTTCAGCTGGTAAGAGAGCAAAGCAATTCGCTCCCCTTCCCCACCCCCTCCCACCCCTGCCCATTTTCCACACTCTGCCACTGCCCATTTCCTACCCGGCTGAGAAAAATGAAATGAAAAGAAAGAAAGAAAAGGAAGGAAGGAAAGAAAGAAAGAGAGAGAGAAAGAAAGAAAGAGAGAGAGGAAGGAAGCAAAGAACTGAAGTTGCTTATGCAGCGCATTTGATTTGAAATGAAAAGAAGGAAAGGAATGGGATCGGGCACTCCCCCCCCCCAACCCCCAGTGGATTCCCAAATAAATGGTTGTGAGATACACGATTCCTGCAAAGAAGAGACTGGCATCTCAAACTTTCCGAAAAATCCAGTTGATTCGAGGAAGAGCCAATACCAAGAGTCAAATCCTTTCATAGTCCAAGTGGGGGCATTTGTGCCTATTTATTTAGCCAGAAACCAAACCATCTCAGTCAGGAGGACGTTTAGGGACATCTGGACCTGCTTGGGTTTCTTTTCTCTTGGAGGATTAAAGGTTAAGAACGATGAAAGCCAGTATTCCTTTCTGGATGGAAAACTGTCCGTGTGGCCCTTGGTGGCTGAGAACACGTGGCATTTAGCAGCTGGTTTCCATCCTTGTGACAAAAGTGAAAACACGATTCCCCAACACCTCCAGTAATTCTTTCCTCCATGGCAGAATTTCGGAAGGCTGTGCGGTTTGGTTGGGGTTTCTCTGGTTTCATTAAAAACCTTTTAATTGTGGCTTTCAGACTTGGCCCCAGGTGTTGGACTCTTTTCATTACATTTTGCTCTAATGTGATGAAATTCTAATTCTCTCCTTACCATATGGTTAAATTTCCCCACTGAGAATTAGTTGAAAAAGGAGAAATAATCTATTAATCTCTGTAATAGATTCACAAATGAGGTTCACCATAGAACCTGTGTTTGAATGGTAATATCAGAACAGTTGGGCACCTTATTTCATAAAGGGTGAAGGCTGCCTCAAAATGTCTGCCTCTTCACCTGGAAAGGGACCCGGAGCTCTCTCTCCAAAAATAATTGCCTAAGATCCAATCTCCAGGGGGCAGAAGAAAAAAAAACATGCAGTCGACCTCCCCCACCAAGGCTCCTTTGGCTCTACTGGAACTGAATGATTGAGAAAGAGCAGGAGGGCGGGCGGAGGCTCCAGGGTCTGAGACTCAGGCCTGCCAGGGAAGGCTGGTCCTACCCTGGAGTCGTTAGGGATTGAAAGGCATGCAGGTGGCCCCTCAGTCCCAATTTGCTCCCTCCTTTTCTCCCTGGGTCCTAGCGGCTGTTAACCTCTCCCTTTATGAAGATGCAGACACTAGTGTTGATATTTTTCCCCTCCAATTTAGCAGCTTTGTTTTCACTGAGATCATACTTAAGGCAGGTTTCTATTCGATAGACGTAAGTTGGTTTTGAGTGCCCTGCGATATTAACATGCCAAATCCCCGAGTACTTATGGGAGGATTGAGGATTTGTGGGCTGGGTAACTCAATGAATCCTAATAATCTGATTCATTCTCCATGGGGCCTATCTCTGTGGTGGTTTGGAACTTTCTTTAGGCCCCCACAGTGGCCATTTGGAAGGATCTATTATTCCCGGGCCTGGTAGATGGACAGGTTTAGCGGCTGGTAAGCCACCAGAGGGGCTGTGCTCTTTAAGGCTAGGACCGCAAAGGCGCTGCTTGCCTTGCCCAGCCAAACACCAGACCCTCCCCCACCCCCAGTTTCCCCAGCAATCTGGTAACTCAGCATCCCTTCTTCCCTCCTCCCCTCTCCCCCCCCCCCCCGACAGCTTGGCGCACGCGCATTTTCTGATGCACTCCACCCGTCCAAACATCTGGAATAAACTTGCTCAACTTTATTTCTCTGAGCCCGGTGCAAACCCCCCTCTTTCTTTTACGACTGAGCAAAATCCCCCTAGTCTTCCCGGTAGAAGAGGTTGCTTTCACAGGCGCTGGAAACTTTGCGTTGGGAAATGGCCGGAGAATTTATAGAAGCTCTAAACGCGGTCCTTATAACAACGTCGGGGAATGGTCTTTGAGGTTTATGCACTCGTAAACTTTTGCTGATTGCTTCGGGGGAAGTAGTCAGGCACTTAACACTGCATTTATCTTATAGGGCAATGAAAACACATCTGCCCGACGTCTCGTTACCTGGTTTAATCATCGCCAATCCGAAGTCACGGGCTTCCGTGCCTTCCCTTCCCTTGCGTGGAACCCTGCAGTTTGGTTTCCCGCAGAGTCGGTCGAGGTTGTGACACGGATTGGGGAAGAATGTGCGCGTGAACTTTGTTCTGCCCGGTCGGGGCAGCGTCAGGGTTTCTGATAGAAAGCTTGTGTTGGAAAAGGCCAGAATAAAAGCTTTCTTATTGCAGGAGCTGGGACAGTAGGAGATCACCCCAGGAGAAGACTCCTGCCCCACAGATGACCCCTTAGAAGGGAAATCCTGATTCCGCGGGACTTTGAGGGACTAAAGCAGTTGAGAGGCGTCAGGTCCCCTTAGACCACAGCGTGGGGAGGGGGCGGCCACCAACGGGGGGACCCGCAGTCAGCTGATGGTCCCTGGCCCAGCCAAGCCCGCTGGAAAGCGAAGCATTTCCCTCTCGCAGGGGAGGGAGTGGGTTTAGCAGAGGGTCGGACTGCGTCTGCAGACGCCCCGGGAGCACGTTGCGCCCCGCTGAGCACAGGTTTGCTCTTGCTGCGAGGCACACACACCTACGACTTTGGAAGGTTTCTAAAATATTCCGCTGCAGCACCGCACTGGAATTAGAGCAGGCAACTTCGAAGTAATTTTTAGGTCATAATTTTCTTAGCGATCATCCTCGCAGGTGCTTGAAATGTGAAGTAAGAGCCCACACAGGATCGGAGCGGAACACAATCTACCTTTAAAATGGGAAGCCCGTCCTTGTTGTGAATATCACTGTGCTCCACGGTCTGTTGCTTATCTTAGATTGGACGGGAGAAACTTAGATTTGGGATATCTTTTGTGTTTTCTCTCTGAGGGAGAAGGATGTCCCGCGTGTTTCAACACATCCATTCTAGAACATTCTTTTAAAACTATAGAAACAAAGTTTGGCCAACATACCACCAACTTTAGCAGGGGAGCTGATCTGAGACTAGGAATTCTGCGGGCTGGAACAGTCCATCTCGGAAGGTCGCGTCTGGAGAGGACAGAAGAGCCCCCTGTGAGCAAGCCTCCGACAGCTCTGGGGGTGTGCAGTGCGTCTCTGAGGGTCCCTTTGGGGCGCACCAGGCGAGAATTCACGCAGGACCCAGCTCCCTTCCGGTCCCCCCCCCCCCACCCCAGGGAGGGAGCCTTCGCTCAGTTGTTTGCCCTGCCAAGGCTTTGACCTTGAAGTTGTATTTGCCTCGCCCACCCTGCGTTCTCTGGGAGGCCACGGAGTCAGCTTTAAAATCCGTGTAGCCCAGACCACTCGGTGTAAGATTCAGGGTTAGATAAAGCAAGGATTTGCTTGGCCGCCCAGAGGTTCACATTCATTCAATCCTCTCCCCCCCACTCCGTCATTTTGGGAGTCATTTTGTGCAGGGTATGTATATTCTCACTCTCTCCAGAGCTCTCTGGGGAGGAAGACTCATATTCCACGTTTGTCTGGGGACAAAGGAGACGACCAACCAGGAGGACGCGGAGACCAGTGACTAGCTCGAACTGGCTGTGCCCACACCCCTACCCAGCCCTCCATGCCCCAACCCAAGAATCCAAGTCTTGTCGTTACTCCTACATGCTTGGTAATTGATTCTAGAGGCTTCCACCGTGGAAAAGTTTTTAATGAAGGTCCTGCTTTTCTTAAGCTATTTTAAAGAAAAGAGATCGGTTGTCGCTACTGTCTTGGGGGACAAAGGTAGCCTAAATTTGAACCGTCATTGAAAAGAAGCCCTCAGCCCCTGAGAAGTT